GATTAGAGTGGGAAAATTTGCTTGTTTCTATTATTTAATCTCTTCTAGGACAACTCATTTTATCACCTTCTAAAGTGGCCAAGTGAAAAGTAGTGATTAATTGGTCGTGGGTTTACAGCAATTAAGAATTCATTCTGTAACACATGGAAACTGAACAACACCTTGCTCAAAAACTACTGGGTTATAGAAGAAATTAAGGATAGAATAAAGAAATTCATAGAATCAAATTAGAATGAAAATACATCCCACCAGAACCTTTGGGACATAGCAAAAGCAGTGCTCAGAGGTTGGTTTATAGCAATAAATGCACACATCCAAAAAGAAGAAAGGGCCAAAATCAAAACATTAGCCTTACAACTTGAACAAGTAAAAAGAGAGCAGCAAAAGAAGCCATTGGGTGCCAGGAGAAAGGAAATAATAAGAATTAGAACAGAATTAAATGAAATAGACAATAGAAAAACAATTGAGAGAGTTAATAAGACCAAAAGATGGTTCTTTGAAAAGATCAGCAAAATCAATGAACTATTGGCCATACTGACAAAAGAAAAACAGGAGAGGAAGCAAATAACCTGTATAAGAAATGAGATAGGTAATATCACAGCAGACCCAACTTAAATTAGAAGAATCATAACAGAATACTATGAAAAATTGTACTCTAACAAATTTGTAAACCTAGAGGAAATGAACAAATTTCTAGAAACTACCTACCTAAACTAACACAAACAGAGGTACAACAACTAAGTAAACCTATAACAAAAGAAGAGGTTGAAAAGGTAATTAAAATCTCCCAGTAATTAAAATCTCCCAACAAAAAAGCCCTGGCCCGGACGGCTTCACTGGAGAATTCTACCAGACTTTCAGAGAAGAGTTAACACCACACTACCAAAGGTATTTCAGAGCATAGAAAAGGCTGGAATACTCCCAAACTCATTCTATGAAGCCAAAATAACCCTGATAACAAAGCCAGCTAAAGACACCACAAAAAAAGAAAATTACAGACCAATATCCCTCATGCATACTGATGCAAAAATCCTCAACAAAATTCTAGCCGATAGAATTCAACAACATATCAAAAAAAATAATTCACCATGATCAAGTGGGATTTATACCAGGTATGCAAGGATGGTTCAACATGAGAAAAACAATCAGTGTAATCCATCACATAAATAAAACAAAAGGCAAGAACCACATGATCTTATCAATTGATGCAGAAAAGGCATTTGACAAAGTCCGACACCCATTCATGATAAAAACTCTCAGCGAAATAGGAATAGAAGGGAAATTCCTCAGCATAATTAAGAGCATTTATACAAAGTCAACAGCCAACATCATCCTAAATGGAGAGACTTTGAAAGCATTCCCCTTGAGAACGGGAACCAGACAAGGATGCTCTTTATCAAATTCTTATTCAACATTGTGCTGGAGGTCCTACCCAGAGCAATTAGGGTAGAAAAAGAAACAAAGGGCATCCAAATAAGTAAGGAAGAAGTAAAAGTACCTCTATTTGGAGATGATATGAACTTATACACAGAAAACCCCAAAGAATCCACAAGAAGACTACTGGAACTTATAGAAGATTTCAGCAAAGTATCAGGATACAAGACAAACACAAAAATCAGTTGGATTCCTCTACACCAACAAAGAGAACTTCGAAGAGGAAATCACAAAATCAGTACAATTTACAGTAGCCCCCAAGAAGATAAAACACTTAGGAATAAGTCTAACTAGAGATGTAAAAGACATATACATGAAAACTGCAAGACACTACTCAAAGAAACCAAAAGATACCTGCGTAAGTGGAAAAACTCATGGATAGGAAAACTTGACATTGTGAAAATGTCATTTCTACCCAAAGAGATCTACAGATACAATGCAATCCCAATCCAAATTCTAACAGCATTTTTTAATGAGATAGAGAAACAAATCACCAACTTCATATGGAAAGGGAAGAGGCCCCAGATAAATAAAGCATTACTCAAGAAGAAGAACAAAGTGGGAGGCCTCACACTACCTAATTTTAGAACCTATTATACTGTCATGGTAGTCAAAACAGCATGGTACTGGTACAACAGATACATAGACCAATGGAACAGAATTGAGAAACCAGACGTAAATTCATCCACCTATGAGCAGCTGGTATTTGACAAAGACCCAAAGTCTGTTAATTGGGGAAGACAGTCTCTTTAACAAATGGTGCTGGCATAACTGGATATCCATCTGCAAAAAACTGAAAGAAGACCCATATGTCACACCATGCACAAAAACTAACTCAAAATGGAACGAAGACCTGAATATAAAATGGAAAACAATAAAGATCATGGAAGGAAAAATAGGGACATTGCTAAGAGCTCTAATACATGGCATAAACAGGATACAAACCTTAAGTAACAATGCAGAAACACCAGAAGAGAAACTAGATAACTGGGAGCTCCTAAAAATCAAACACTTATGCTCATCAAAAGACTTCACCAAAAGAGTAAAAAGACAACCTACAGACTGGGGAAAAAATTTTGTCTTCTACAAATCCAATCAGCATCTAGTCTCTAAAGTCTACAAGATACTGCAAAACTTCAACAACAAAAAGACAAATAACCCAATTAAAAAATGGCAAAGGATATGGACAGGCATTTTACCGAAGAAGACATTCAGGTGGCTAACAGACCCATGAGGAAATGCTCACAATCATTAGCCATTAGAGAAATGCAAATCAAAACTACAATACCATCTCACCCCAACGAAGCTAGCATTAATCCAAAAAACACAAAATAATATACATTGGAGAGGTTGTGGAGAGACTGGGACACTTATACACTGTTGATGGGAATGTAAAATGGTACAACCACTTTGGAAATCCATTATGTGATTCCTTAAAAAGCTAGAAATAGGAGTACCATACGGTCCAGCAATCCCACTCCTTGCAGTAGTATATCGTAGAGAAATAAGAGCCATCACATGAATAGATACATGCATACCCATGTTCAGTGCAGCACTGTTCATGATAGCAAAAAGATGGAAACAACTTAGGTGCCCGTCAACGGACGAATGGATAAACAAATTATGGTATATTCACACAATGGAATACTGTGCAACGATAAAGAACAACAATGAATCCGTGAAACATCTTATAACATGGAGGAATCTGGAAGGCATTACGCTGAGTGAATTTAGTCAGTCACAAAAGGAAAAATATTGTATAAGACTACTATTAGAAGAACTCAAGAAAAGGTTTAAACACAGAAGGAAACATTCTTTGAGGGTTATGAGAGTAAGGAGGGGGAAAGGGGTATTCACTCATTAGATAGTAGACAAGAATTATCTTAGGTGAAAGGAAGGACAGCACACACTACAGGGAAAGTCAGCACAACTGGGCTAAACCAAAGCTAAGAAGTTTCCTGAATATAAGCAAACACTTCAAGGGACAGAGTAGCAGGTGCAGGAGTCTGGGGCCATGGTTTCAGGGGACATCTAGGTCAATTGGCATAACAACGTTTATTAAGAAAATGTTCTGCATCCCACTTTGGTGAGTGGCGTGTAGCTAGCAGGTGGCCATCTAAGATGGATCAATTGGTCCCAGCCACCTGGAGTAAAGGAGAATGAAGAACACCAAAGACACAAGGAAAGTATTAGCCCAAGAGACAGAAAGGGCCGCATAAACCAGAGACTCCATCAGCCTGAGACCAGAAGAACTAGATGGTGCCCGGCTACCACCAATGACCGCCCTGACAGGGAACACAACAGAGAGTCCCTGACAGAGCAGAAGAAGAGTGGGGTGCAGAACTCAAATTCTAGTAAAAAGACCAGACTTAATGGTTTGATTGAGACTGGAGGGACCTTGGAAGACATGGCACCTGGACTCTCTGTTAGCCCAAAACTGAAACGATTCCTGAGGCCAACTCTTCAGACAAAGATTAGACTGGCCTATGGGACATAAAATGATACTCATGAGGAGTGTGCTTCTTCGCTCAAGTAGATACATGAGACTAAATGGCCAGTTCCTGTCCAGAGGCGAGATGAGGCAGAGAGGGTCAGGAGCTGGTTGAATGGACATGGGATATCCGGGGTGGAAAGGAGGAGTGTGCTGTCACAGTATAGGGAGAGCAACTATGGTCACATAACAATGTGTGTATAAATTTTTGTACGTGATACTAACTTGAATTGTAAACTTCCACTTAAAGCACAACAATTAAAAAAAAAAAAGAATTCATTCGGTAACTTCAGCAGCCTGGGAACAGTGTATACAACCTTTCTACAGAAACTTCTAATAAGGCTATAATTTGATATACATCACTATAGAACATAAGATGTGAAAGCTTTTTTGTTATGCAGCTTGGGTATAATTTGAGGAGCCCTGGTGACAAAGTGGTTATGAGCTCAGCTGCTAACCAAAAGATCAGCAGTTTCAATCCACCAGCTGCTCCTTGTAAACCCTATGGGGCAGTGGGCAGTTCTACTCTGTCCTGTAGGGTCGCTGTGAATCAGAATCCACTCAACGGTAGCAGATTTTTTTTTTTTTTTAAATATTGGAGTTTATACAACTATGTAAGATGGCACATAATACATATTACCGTTTAATTTATTTCATTCTATGATCTAGTTAATGAGCTAACTGTTGGGCAGGTTGATTTTTTGTTGTTGTTAATATAAATTTTGGGGCAGTTATCTTTGGTTTTGAAGTGCTGAATTTTAATTGAGGTCATTGTCTCCAAAACCATCCTAATTTTTTATGTTTCATTGGCTTGCTGTTTTGCATGTTTCTTTGAATAAATGTATTTTTCCCAGGTAGAGTTATTCATAAGGGTACTTTCTGCAGAACCAAGAGTTATATATATAGTACAGAGTTGGAGAAAAAGAGTTATTTCTTGGCCCCAGTCAAGAGAAAATCTGATTTAAATGCAGATGCTAATCCAGGCAACATATTTTTGAAAGAAACTGGTAGATAAAAACCATGGACATTTTGTGAGTTTTTAATCCGGTTGTGCCTTTTTTCTTTTGTGTTCTAGGAAAGTTAAAGGTGGAAATATTGATGTACATCCATCAGAAAAAGCACTCATTGTTCAATATGAAGTGGAAGCTACCATTCTTGGAGAGATGGGGGATCCCATGTTGGGAGAACGAAAGGAATGCCAAAAAATGTAAGTTTCTTTACTTGTGCACATTTTGAAAGTAGTGAACTTGGTAAACTTTATGTAAACTTGGTGTTATTTTAATCTGCATAGATGATAAATGGTTATGGCATTCATCTAGACATATTTCATATTAGTGAAGCAGATTATATTAAACTATAAATACAGTTTTATAGTACTATTTCAGAGAAAGTCAGATTTATGTAAGCATAATGGAAACTTGCTGAAAAATTCCTGTTCTGATTTATCCCATTTAGTAAATGTATATCATAGGATATAAACTAACTTGTGAAATCAATCATAAAAGATATGTTTATGTGTGACTTCTTAATTTAAGGAATTTATTTTTAAGGGGATCTTGTATTCTTTCTTCCTTGGAATTGCAGGGCCCTGGTGGCACAGTGGATAGGAGCTCGGCTGCTAACCAAAAGGTCAGCAGTTCGAATCCACCAGCCGCTCCTTGGAAACCCTACAGGGCAGTTCTACTCTGTCCTATAGGGTCACAATAAGTTGGAATCGACTCGACAACAAAGTGTTTTTTTCGTTAGTATGACTTTCAAAAACTGTCAGATGGGACACAGACCTTGAATCCGTCCCTTTAAATCTAGCCCTCTGAGAGATACTGGTAATAAGAAGCATTTTCTCACTCAATGGCTTGGGCTTAGATCTCCCAGTGTCTTTTCTTCCTGCATTTGTGATACTTCCCGAAGCCGTTTGGGAACTGACCTTCATTAGCCTGCATTTCTGCTGGTGATGATCTTGCCTTACTTCCAGTGTTTTGTGGAAGTAGAGATGATCTGAGATCACCTAGGACTCTCTCTCAGTCCTCTTCCCTCCATAAAGAAATTTGATTTGGAAACTAGTTAGAAAAATTTCTATCTATTCTGTGTTTGGTGGTATTAAACATACTCAGTTACTTGCTTCTAGGAGTGCATGTGATAGTATTTAGCACACAGAAAAGCATTCTGTTTAGTGTATAGTATATAGCAATGTTCTCAATTTGGGATGATTTTGGCTGTGTCTGGAGACATTTTTGATTGTCATAAGTGGAGGGGTCCTACTTTCATCTAACAGGTAGAAGCCAGGGTGCTGCTAAACATGCTACAATGTACAGGACAGCCTCCTACAACAAGTTATTATTTGGCCAAAATGTCTGTAGTGTTGAGGTTAATATAGCCTGCAAAGAGAAGCTGCTTAATATCTTACTAAAAACCAAAAACTACTTGCTGTTGACTTGATTTTAATGTCGACTCTATGTGTGTCAGAGTAGAACTGTGCTCCATAGGGTTTTCAGTGACTCATTTTTTTGGAAGCAGATCATCAGACCTTTGTTCTGAGGTGCCTCTGGGTAGATTTGAACTTCTAACTTTTTGGTTAGTAGCTGAGCACATTAATTGTTTACATTACCCTGGGACTCCAGTATCTTACTGTGGTCTACTAATCTGTCTTCCTTATTTGGATTTCAAGGATGACTAAACTACATAGATAATTTTTAAAGAAAGCTGAGTCCTGTAGATAATCTATTAGGTTGAAGAGAAATACATACATACTCACACAGTAGATTCTAACCCATAAGCTCACTTTTTTTGTTCTGTCATACTTTTTCTCTTGTGTGTGTGTATTGCTGCCTGAGTTTTGTTTGAGTTTTATACATTTTGAGAAAACATGAAAATAATTTGACCTCCAAAGAAAAGCCTTTTGAATCTCATACATCCATATTTCAGGAGAAATTTAATTTTTAGTTCTTAAGGATGAAGTCAGTAGCCTTATTCAACTAGTATTAAATGAGGATGTTATTGTTTGAAAGTCTTCAGGCTTTCTTGACAAGAGGTACATTCACAAGAGAGTCTGCCACCTGGAAAGAGTTACTACAGATTGTGATTAGAGTAAGTGGATTTAAACAGCAGTAAGGGAAAAACCTGAGTGTCTCAACCCCATGATACTCAACCCTGGCTGCACAAGATTTGGAGAGGAATCATATTGTGAGACCAAAAGAAGAATGTGATTTGTTGATAGTGAAAGAGATTTTATCAATGCTAGAGTATAGGGGGACTCATATAAATTGAGATGGGTGTGAAGTGAGCATGTTACTAAATTGGACTAGTCAGTGCTGTGACCCAGGTCCAGAAGACTTGTATCTCAGTCTGCAGTAGTGGGCAAAGGAATGTATGAGCACATCATCAGCAGAGACCCAATTTTCTGAAGAAGATTTCTTTGTAAGAAATTTGTGGTTATGGTCCAAAAATAATGTGAGTACTTTTCTTGTGAGTTTTTGGTATAAGCGTAATAGGTTAAGCTGTCTTAATAGGTATCCCACTGCCATCGAGTTGATTCCGATTAACAGCAACCCTATAGGACAGAGTAGAACAGCATCATAGGGTTTCCAAGGCTGTAATCTTTATGGAGGCAGACTACCACATCTTCCTCCCATGGAGCGGCTGGTAAGTTCAAACCACTGACCTTTTGGTTAGCAGCCAAGCACTTTAACCCTGCACCACAAGGACTCCTTAATAGGTATAAGCTGCCTAATCAAGATTCTATTTCTTGATTATAAGGATAATCCAGTAAACATACTGCTAATATTTTTTTAAAAATTCTAGTCCTTCCTATTTTTTCCTTGTCTTCCGTAATAGGAAAGGGTTTAGGAGAGAGATATACACACTAAAAGTAGAAAATTTATTTACCCTGGGTGGAAAGAAGATGAATCAGATTGCTAGTATATATGTTGATAGAAAATAGCTAAAAAAAGATTTGAAAAACTTGTTTATAGAGTTTTTGTTGTGCCTCTTCTCAATCAACTTTTTCGAAAGGGTCAAGATTTCCCATTTTCTTGTTAAAATTAAACATTGAGAGGTCTTTTGACAGTTTTTCTTTTAATGGAGTCTCTTTCCTATCTCTGCCTTCTGATATGCAGCTAAAACTATATAAAAATACAATCAAAAATTTAGAAATCTTAGAAGATAGGAAAATAAAACACCAAGTAGGTTAATGAGGATTTAAAATAAAGGGACTTGATGTTGCTAGAGTTCTTGTTGCAAACATTAGAAACCCCTCTAGCAAATTTAAGCCTAAAATGAATTTATTAAAGGCTGTTAAGTGGCTCACAGAATCACAGAAGAGCCAGATACTTGGGGCTGGCTATGTAACTGACCTCTAAATCACTGAACTAGTTTTTGAACAATGATTCCTGAGATACTGCATATAGAGAATTTTTCTGAGATCTCCACTCCTGCTGCCTCTCATACTTTGATGTCTCTCCACAAAAATTAGCCGTCCTCACCAGGAAATAATTCTACACAGTGGCTGCTTTCTTGTGTTTCTCTTTTTCAGTCTACACCTTGCATGGATGCATCTGCTTGATAGAGTCTCTTACCACCAGTTTGAGTTTTCATCCTGCATCTAATTTTATGTCTTCATAGATCTGCCTGCTGTAGTCCCAGACTCTGGATAACCTTTTCTTATTGAGTTCCCAGGGAATCTTCTGGGCTAAGTTAAAAAGTGAGGAGGGACTGGTTTGTTTATTTTTTAATGTACTAACCTAGGTGTATAATGTATTCATTTGTTCCTCAGGGTTTCTCATAAAAGCATCTACCTTTTTTCTTGTATACCTTCTGTATAATTACCACCAGAACAATTGAATCTGAAAAGTATCCATAATATATCTTGTCTGTATTTAAAAAATAAATGATTGTGCGTATGGTCAAGTAAATGATTTCGTTTTTAGCAATATGTGTTCTCACATCCAGTAGTGACTGAAGGCTTTCTATATATTTACATCAGAAGTACTGTTTTAAAACAGTCTGTGAATATGCTGTCCTGTCGGAGAGAGTCAGATGTAGGTTTCATGTTCCTTTTGCTATCTTGTTTGTCCAGCTTAAAGAAAATTGTTGCCTTGTAGTTTTCTAAGTCTGATTATATCTAATACTTCCTTATATTTTACTAAAGAGATATATGGCCAGGTACATTTAAGTGCTTTTTAAATTGTTTATTTGAAAGAAATATTCTTTGAAGCTATTGCTTACTTTTATAACACTCGAGTTGAGAAATTCTGATATGCTTGCAGCATTCGTCTTAAGAGTCTCAATGCCAACACAGATATAACTTCCCTGGCACGAAAGGTGGTTGAAGAATGTAAACTCATTCATCCCTCAAAACTACATGAGGTAGAGCAGCTGTTGTATTATCTACAAAACCGCCGTGATGCATTGACAGGAAAAGGTAAGTAGTAGAATTACTGATTTCTTCATGCAAAAACAGAGTTGTTTGACTATATTTTGTGCTTTTGATATTTGAATGTTTTTTTTTTTTGTGATTGCTATGAATGAGTAAGTGAATGAAAGAATAAACAATTATATTAGCTTTCTGTGTAATAGACTTTATATTAGATACTTTCACATAAAATGATCTGATATCATTTCATACTGTATGTATGTATGTTGTGTGCGTGTGTGTGTACACCTACACTGAAATTTGGAGTAAAAAAAGGAAATGTCTGTATCGTATTGCTTCTAGAATAATAAAAGGAGAGAATTTTATTACAGGAACCTTATTTTCTCTGCTCCAAATAGACTTACATTTTCTAAATTTCTTATTGATATTTAATTTATAATTTGAATAGATTATTTAAGTATTTAAATGTTAATAATATATATCACGTGCTTTAGACTATCCTAATGATATAACTTTTATTGATCTTTCTTAGGAAAATATTACTTATTCATTGTTCAGTGTCTATTATTCTTCTGTCCTCAATTCCCTCATAAAAGAACCAAGTCATTAAGAGATTAAGAACTAAGCAAATGATTATTTATGAGAGCATTTCTAAATAATTTAAACTAAAGCAAAAACATATTTCAATGGCATGTCATCTTTGATTGTCGAATGGTTAGTTATGCCATCTCACAATATTTATTAAGTCTACTTATCTTTCTTTTACCATTGGTGAGTTCTAAAGTGTGCTGCCCTTGAAATAACTTGTAAGTGCTCAGGTTTTGATTGTACTAAATAAAAAAATTTTTTAAAAAATTTCTTAGACTGTTTTGAAATTAATCAGTCTTCCCTCTCCATCCTTGACAAATAAAATGCCTATGTTTAATATATAGTTTATTAGCCCTGAACAGTATCTAACACATATTATATGATCAATATATATTTGTTGAATCAATTGAATAGCCATGAATATGTTTAAAGGCAAAACTAAGCATTTTGAACTTGATTGCTTCAAATCACATGGCTGGCACCCAGGGTGTACTTGTTAATTATAGTAAGTGCTATCTGGATAAGTAAAATATTATTTATCAAGAAGAATATTTTATAAAAAGTAGATATTTTATGTTGGAATCTCATTGCTAAGAAAGCTGTATAAATGAAGAGAGAACACATCTTAAATAGATGCAAAGTGAGCAACACTGGTCTTTGTTACTTATATTGAGTTGTATAATATAGTTAATACTGATTTTTCCTAATGCCAAATTAATATCATTCTGAAAGCATTTATAGTAAAATATCTTTTAATAAATAAAATCCCTTCACTGAGTTTTCAGAGCAGATCAGTCTCCTCACCGCCTTCCCGAGAAATTAGAGGAATATGAGGACATTTTCACGCCACCATAACCTGAAAAAAATAATTCAAATGAACATGTTTCTCTGTGTGGATACTAATATTTGAAGGCATATATGAAGTGCTTTACTATATTAAATGTACATTTATTTTAAAAAGCTATTCAGTTTTTCTTAACTTTTTAATTTGGTTTCACTGTTTCAAAGCCAGAAGCCTTGTCCTTAAAATGATTGAAACAAAGCAAATGTTTATTTCACTATGTGATTCTTTACTGTGTTTTTTCTTTGCTCACATAAAGCCACTGTTAAGGTAAATTGTTTGTGGTAAAATTTAGCCGTTGAGAAAACATGACCTTGTTTAGAATGGCTGCTGCTGTCTCTGAGCAGAATAAGGGCTAACTCCTATTGTATGTAAAACATATTTACTAATTGTAGAATAAAAGTTTTGATACTACTCTAACTTATTTAAAATAAACATGTATTGCATGTGTACTTAGGTTTGTTTTGAGCCACATCATTAAAATATTTTTGATAGCTTTTTACTAGAAAATGAAATTGTTATTAATCAAAATAATTAATTATAACAAATGGCTCAAGGTGGTGATCAGCACCTTTGATGTCTCTTTAATTTATTTGGGAACAAGTTTAAATTAGCACAAATATGGGATATTTGCCCTCTAATTTATGATCTTAATTTTACTTGTAAAAACCAATCAATTACCAACTGTTCTTTATTTTAGCTTTTAAATTATCAAGGTCATTTCTTAATTTTAATTTTTATTTTACCCAAGTCATCTCTTTTTCTTTGCCTTGTTGGCTTTCCTATTCCTACCTTAAATGTGTATTAGAAAGGGAAAGAGAGGAAACTTGAAATAGACTTTTTCTTTTTGTTGGTAAGCCTGGTTATATGCATAACAAAAAGTTACTGGAGAGGAAGATAAAACTACTGCCTAACATAACTTGGGGGATTACTTATAGATTTTATTCATTTATACTCTCCTTGATAACCTCATCAGAACAGATGAACTGTAGATGAACACTTTTTGTACATTAAAAAAAAAGTAGATTATTTTGTAGACGATTCAGTTTAAGATCTGCAGCTTAGCTAGAATTAAACTCAGCTGCTAAAAACAGAAATTTACCCAGAAACACTACAAACCTAATGCTTCTCATTAAAAAAGAATATATATGTATGTATATTTTACAGAAAAAAAAGAAAAATCGAGCAAACCTAAAGATCCACCTCCTTTTGAAGGAATGGAGGTAAGACTGTATTCTGATCTAATAGAGAATTGATTGTCGGGTGTTTACCTTTTTCCATCAATAATGCATACAATCACATTATTCAGATGTGGAATTTTAAAAAATTACTGAACTTTAGAAGTATCTGAAAAAGGTAGAATATCAGTATTTAAATTAATAAAGACAAAATTATTTGGTGTGCGTTTTAGACATAATTTATTCATAAAATAAATAAGTTGTAAAAATGTTTTAAATATTCTTATTGTAATATGTTTTAGAATGTTTATTATAGTAGATACTAATGATTTTGCACTGCATCTAAAATACTTTATATTGATAGAAAAATGTTTAAAATTTATGTACATCCCATTTTACCATGTGGTTTGTTACTATTGTATTGGAGCCCTAGCCCCCAAAGGTCTGATTTTTCCCCCTACCAAAAAAAACAGCTACTGTGAATTCTTTGGAAGTTTATCTGTTGTTGTAAAGGGTAGTTTATTAATCACAAACTATTTCTTTGACCATGGATCTGTTGAGTATTGTTTTCACTTTTAGTACTTCCTGCCGCTTCTTTTGTTTCAGATTGATGAAGTTGCTAACATTAATGACATGGATGAATACATTGAATTATTATATGAAGATATTCCTGACAAGGTTCGGGGTTCTGCTTTGATCCTGCAGCTTGCTCGAAATCCTGATAACTTGGAAGAACTACTCTTGAATGGTGATTTATAGCTATAAATATTAAAATATAAAAATAACTGTAAACCCTTTAAATGCGTATTATAATAGGGGTAGGCGTCCCTGGGTGGTGCAAACAGTTAACCTGCTTGGCTGCTAACCAAAAGGTTGGAGGCTCAAGTCCACCCAGAGGCACCTGGCAAGAAAGTCTTTGTGATCTACTTTCAAAAAATCAGCTGTTGAAAACCCTGTGGAACACAGTTCTACTCTGACACACATGGGGTTGCCGTGAGTCAGAATCAACTCAGTTGCAGCTAGTTTTATTTTTAATAGAGGTGCATGCTAAAATTATTTATACCAAAATTAGGAATGCGTATATTTTACAGCTCTCTATTACCTTCCTTTTTATTCAAATTTCTTAACATTTAGTAGTATTTAAATACTCTGTGGAGGATTCGCAAACCATTTAATTTAGATAAAGACAATCTAGCGTTAATGGTAGTGTATCTTTTCTTCTACTCTGAAAAACTTTATTTTTTAAATTAGGATGCAAGATCAAACTTCTAACATTTGCACAAGTATGTTTATAATGTTTTTATTAGTTTCAATATTAGTTTTCTGTCCGCACAGCAAAAGTTATACGTCTTTATAATTTCATTTAGATTGAATTTAACTCTATATGTTTGCCTCTCTTTGACTAGAAGTGCTTTGTAGTAAAGAAAAGGAGATATAAGGTTTTTAAAATCTTTTGCTCACTTGTAACACTCTAGAATTATTGTAAATGCATAATTCTCTGATCATACTTCTGCCAAAAAAGAAAGGAAGATATTGTTATTATCTGATTTCCTCCACATAAGAAAGAATACCTTTTTTTTTTTTTTTTTTCTATTGCCAGACTGCCTTGATGGAGGCTGGACAACACACAGCAGTAGTTTGTAGCTGCGAACGTCTATCTTGAGATCTGTCTAGAGAGCCCTAAGACATTACCAGTATTCCAATTAGAAATCTGTACATTTTAACTATTTTTAAAATTATACAACTAATACTGCAATATATTCTTTCAAAATGATTAGAATACTACAGATAAAATCTGCTTTGAACATTACCCCATAATTTGTTACGAGTTTGGAGTGCTTTCTTCCAGATCTTTTTAATATTTTTACATATATGTGTGTGTGGGTTTTTTTGTTTCCATATTAAAATATAGAGTATTGCTTTGTGTGAATTTTTAAGTTAATAGTATCATAGTATACTTCTGTTTGGTGATTTTTTTCTCCATACGGCAATATTTTGAGATTACATGCATATAGATACATATAGATATGATTAATTTCTTTTAACTACTTTCAATTATTACGTTTTATGAATTTATACATATTCTTTAACCATTTCTGTACTTGATGGGCATTAGATTGTTTTCACATTTTTCAATAAGGAGGATTGCTTCAGTGAACAGTTTTGTGCGTATCTTCTTATATATCCAAGCAAGGATTTTTTTAGGGTATGTACACAGACATAAAATTACAAAGGTCATAATGTTTTAAGGGATATTGCCAAATTGCCATCCAGAATGTTTGTGCTGCTATATCCCCATACCAGTGGAATATGAAAGTATCAAACTTTCACCTTTTTGCCAGTTGTTCAGTTGGTAAACAATATCTCATTGTTTTAAGTTGCGTTTGCCTGCTTTCTAATAAGTTTCATCATCTTCTTATGTTACTAGACTTTTGGAATTTTTCCCCTGTGAATTTTGTATTCATTCCCAAAGTATTATATATATGCACACATACATATACAGTTGATCCTCATTATTCTTGGATTCCATATTCATGAATTCACTAAAAATACTCATGGCACTTTTGCAGTCATTTGTAGACATGCATATGCACAAAGCAGCAAAAAATTGCCAGCTGATGTCAAGCAAGACTGGTTCAATATTTCCTAATTCAGAGTTCACGGGAACTTTATGGAACATAACTACTGTGCGTAACAGGAAAACTGTGTATGGTTTTCATGTCTTAAATATTTATATCCTGAATTCTAATCATTTTTCTCTTACGTACTTAGAAATAGTTTCTCTCAATCTATTACTTGAGTTTTTTCTTTTTTGTGTATGGTATCTTTTGTGATGCAGAACTTTTAAATTTTGATATACTCAAATTTAAGTCTTTTATTTTTTAAGTATTTGTAAGAAGACCTCTCTGACCCTAAGGCTTAGTAGATATTCTCCTATATTTTTTCAAATATTGTTTAATGTTTGTTTTATTTTACATTGAGGTTTTTAATTTACTTAGAATTTTTTAATAACAACTTCGATGCGATATCATTTATTACTCTTTTACAGTGTACGGTTCAGTGGTTTTTAGTGTATTCACAAAGTTGTACAAACATTGCCACTATTTAATTACAGAGCCTATTATCACCTCAGCAGTAAACCCCATGCCAATTAACAGTCACTCCCCAAAGACAGACTCTGAGAGTGGAGCCTTTCAGCCAGCATCCAAATAGGTCAAATAGTGACAATTCTCTGGGGATGTGGCTTTTGGGGATCTCCAAACTGTTCTGTCTCCCAGTTGCTATTAGGCTACTGGTTTTCACGGATAGCACTGATGCTGTTGATTCTCAAGGTCTACCCTGAAGCTGGGCTGAGGGGGATAGAATTAGGGAAAGTTAAAATGCCACAAAGCTCACTGTTCTTATCAGTATTTTTTTTTTTTTCCTGGAATAAACACTCCTTGAATTGTTGTGTTTAGTTACTTTGCAGAGTTCTGAAATGTTGATTTTGACAATTTTTTCCAGTGTTCTCATTCTGCTTATATAGGAGTGTATTTTTGGAAATCTTTACTCTGCCATGCTGGAAGTGCTTGGCCCTAGAATTTATTTTTGTTTAAGGTGGGTAGTAGAGATTTAATTTTACTTTTTTCCATATTGGATAGCCAGTTATCCCAACCTACTTAGTGGAATGCCCAAAGATTTGAAACACCTTTTCTACCATATACCTGCCATTCTTTTATTCGGCAGATATTTCTTAAACATTTTTTCTGTGCCAGGTACTATTCCCATATATACATGGGTCTGTTTTGCTGCTCTGTTTTCTGTTCCATTGATCTATTTGGGGATTCCTATGCCTGTACCATACTGTTTGTTATTGTTGTTGTTATGTTTTGTTTTTTAATTAGAGCTTTAGAACGTGTAAGACAAGTGCCCCAATGTGCTTCTTTTTCCCTCCCAGATTTGATTGAGAATCCCTTTATCAAATTCTCTAAAAAATCACAATGGATTTTGATTATGATTGTGTTCAATTTATCAATTAATTTTGAGTTGTCATTTATCCTTCTATAAACTTTGTAATTTTCTTTTGGCTGTCACTTAGTAACCTGTATACAATTTCTATAGCTATGTTTTTATTGAGACATTCTATGTACATAACTATACTAAAGGAAAAAAATGAAATAAAAATTGCCAAATAGGTCACTAAACCTTTGTCTAAATCCATGACATTATAGAACATTATTTTCCAAGGTACAGTTTAAGAAATACTGCTTCCTCTGGATTACAGTGGTCAAATGCATTTGGGAAATACTGAATTAAGCTAAACTACACTCTTTATTAATTAGTACTTTCTGTTTTTTGGAGACTTTGCATTTTAATGTGCATTCCCTGCCTATGTATTTGACTTCAGAGTAATAACGTTCAAAGCATATACTACACCAGCGCTCTGCAAGATAGATTGTGAAATGCTATTATAGACTGTTTTTTAGTTTGTTAAAAAATTCCTTATTTAACTAGATTAATAGTTAAATACAGTTAATTCTTGTTTTTTTTTTAATAATCTAAATGGCCAGAGAGCTCAAATAACCTGAAATTTTTCATTACCATAATAAATATTGATAATGAACTTCATGAAGTACAGTAGTTCCCAAGTGCCTATTGGTCTCTGTATTTTAAATAAAATTTTTTATATCATTTTGATTATTTTAAGAGTTATATACCTCACAACAAGCTAAATTTGAACCCAGTCTCATTACTTTATGTTTATTTAATATATGGTAATTCTTGTTAATCAGGTCATTAATTTTACCTTGCTTAAGACAAAAAAATCTAGCAGAGATGTTTATTAACTTAGCCTGAAGCTAATTTTATGAAATATTTTAAATTGTATGTCTGATACTGATACTGAAATATTAGCATGATACTGAAATATTACCTATTTTTCTGTGCATAAATTTTGTTGTTAGATGCCATTGAGTCACTTCCAACTCATAGCAACCCTATGTACAACAGAACGAAACACAGCACGGTCCTGTGCCATTCTCATAATCGTTGTTATGCTTGAGCCCATTGTTGCATAAATTTTCTTTACTTGTTAATTTGCTTTAATAGAGCTAGTTTTAGCCTGTTAAGCTGTTCATTATTTTTTTATAGACTTATCTTAGTTTTTTTCTTAGTCTCAAATACATGAAATCATATGTTAGAAAAGAAAAATTGAGGTGGAGCCAACATGGCGCTATAGACAGAAGCACCGCACCGTCCCTTCACAGAAAAGACTCAAAAAACTAAGTAAAATGAGACAAACATCAGTCCCGGAACCCTAATCGTCAAATGAAAAGATAAAGAACCCAACCAAACACCGAATGGAATAAGAAAATGACAGAACAGAGAACAAAGAGAGTTACGAGCGGAGGTCCCCTATCAGCTAACACAGCATGGATCCACCATCTTGGACTCCTGCCTGAGGTCGGCGGACAGGAAGTACGGGAAAGCAGATTCACGAAGTTCCCAGCAGAAGACAGAACACCTGGTAACCAGTGAAACACACTTTCCCAGCCCCCAGCCTGCCTCCTCCTGCTCAACCTTCGCTTTTTCCTGGCTGGCCAGTCCGCGACTTCCCGGTAGGCCTCTTCCTGGCTTCCCAGCAGGCCAACTCCTGACTTCCCAGCTGTCCGATTCACTGCTTCTCATCTGTCCGATTGCCAGTTTCCCAGCAGGACAATTCCCAGCTTCGCAAAGAGCCGATTCGCTGTTTCCCAGCGGGCCGATCCA